CTCTCCAGTTCCGACCTTACCCACTGCTCCACTTCTTTCGTGGCTAGCTCCTGTTTGACATTCTGTAACGCTGTCCTTGCCGCCAGACCGTGATCCACCTTGTGTGGGCTAGCCGACTCTGCCTCCAGGTTCGAGGCTACCACCTCGTCAGGCAGTGTCTTTACCTTCTTAGTCGTAAAGGTGCTCGGTGTCGTCTCCTTTCTCCGAGACTCAGCCTCGTTCATCAGACGTGCTCGACTGGCCTTGACACCCGAAAGCGCCTCTTCGTGGCGGGGATGTTTCGCGTCCACCACTGCATCCCAAAATTGAGTGCAATCCGATTTGAAGTGTCCCTCCAAATTACAGAAGAATCACCTCGGACCATATTTCATGATGAGCCCTCTGACGTACTCTTCATGATCCTCGTCGGTCGCGTCGACGTCGTCGAGAAAGTAGCCTATTGCCTTCATGTTCTGTTTGTATGCCGAACACGCGGAAACGTGATGGTCCATCGAACCACAATTCGCACACGACCTCCTCTTATCCATGTCATCGCGAGGTTTGTACCAACTGGAGTTCGCACCAGTGTTTGTCCCGCTGTAGTTACCATAATTGCTGTAACGGTTTTGCGCCCTCGGTTTTATGAGTAAATACTCGCGTGACTTCATACGCAAATCATCGGGCGTGGGTACCTGGTCAAGTGACAGGATGAAGTGTGTGGCCAACATCGTCTTCAACTCCTCACTCTTTACTCCGTCCATGAGCTTCGAAGCAATCGCCAAGTTTCGCTCGGATATTCTCTCATCGGGATTGCTTCTCCTCCTAAGCAATTCAAGGTCGTCCAAAAATTTGTCTATGGATTTGTCATCTCTTTGACGCCTCTTTTCGAACTTCACCATAGCCTGGTGCCCTTGTACTCCAGAGCCGAAACGATTCAGCAGGATGTCGAATATCTTGCGAGCGCTGTCTCTCTCATTGGCTCTTTTCGCCATTACACAATTTAGTGCAGTACCCTCCAGGTTGCTCGTTAGCGCGCTGTACTCTTGTTTCTTGGAGAGACTCTCTTCCTCAAAGTGTAACTTCATCACCTCTATCCAAGTATCAATGCAGCCGTCGGACTCGTCTTTGTATGACTTCGGCTTTTTCAGTGTCCTTCTTGACCTCTCTCCTCTCTCGGTTGACTTCGAGAGCTTAGTGATGAATGTCTCGAGAGATATATTCAGAGGCTCAAACTTCGAGGCATACATCGTCGTGTCCTGTGAAACTGTAGTCAGATCTGGCACTGAACTGACTTGTGGCACAGTTGGCAACCTTGTCTCCGGAGTAGCATCTGCCTCCGGCGGGACTGGATTCGTCCAGCCAGGCCTCGACGGGGCTGCCCTTGGCCGCTCCCTATTCCTAGGTTCGTAGTTCGTTCTCGAGCTTTGCTGGGCTCTGGCGTAGCTGCCCGTACCATCTCCGTCATTCGCATGGCGTGAACGCTCCCTTGGGTTGGAACGCTTCTCCCAATTCCAATTGCCCCCATTCAAGCTCGCGTCAAGCTTCCGCACCATTAAGTCAGATTTGGCATCCAACCTTTTTTCCAGGCTTGTCATCGTGTGGGCGTAGGTACTATCATGATCGTTTAACAATCGCTCGATCTCCCTCGTCATCCTAGCCTCTCTTTCCTGTGACTCCTTGTTTGCCTGTGCGAGGCTCTCCGCCAGGCATTGATCGGTGTTGCGAATCAATTGAGCCTGATCAACCCTCGACTGCGACTTCACGTGGGTTAGTTCATCTCTCAGATTCTCTCGACCCTGGTGAGCTCTCTCGTCAACTTGATCTATTCTCTTAGTCATGTCCCTTCTCAGTTCATCCAGACCATTCATTACGCCAGCGAACATGTCACTTATATCGCCAGTGGCCCCAAACGACGGGGTTAGTCCCAAAGAAGATGAGGTCAACTGCGGCTGCAGCCTGGTGCTTGATGACGCACCGCCTTTTTGCTTGCTCATCGACGTGATCAATCTGTCGAACGTTGATGACGCTCCCATCGTTATCCCATCTGACATGGGCCTGGTCGGCGAGGCGGACGACGCCTTCCTGCTCATGTCTTTCCTTGGGCACGGTGTGAAGTTCACATCCTGATGGGTTATCTCCGGGTAGTCATAACTGGAAGATATACCTTCAGTTCGTAGTGACGCCATGCGCTCATCGTACAAAGACTTCCAGCTCTTCTTGGCCTTCGAACCCAGTTGTTCTTCACTCGGGCTTATACTCGACATCAACGCGTTGTTGCTCTGCTTGGCCAGGGATGAGTGGGTATTAGCTGAATGTGAATTTTCTCTCCTCCACCTATGACTCTTGGTCTCCGATTTGGACATTCCCTTGAATAACACTTCCTCTCGCGGCTCGACCTCGGAACGCTCCGAGGTCTCCTCCGTCCTCTCAACTTCCTCCCGCTCGAGGTCCTCGCTCGGCTCAAAGTCGGGTCGAATAAGCGTACGTTCTCCTTCGTCAAAGGGGTCCACAAGCGTCTCGCTCGTGGGTCCGGCCTCGGCGCTCCGCCCTCGATCGCCATCGTGGTTTTTCTCGCTCCGTAGTTTCATTTCGCTCACTGAAAGATCAGGTTGACCTTTAGTCGATTCGGTTTCGGCAAACACGTCGGAGGCGCCGCTAAACGAGGACTGGCTACGCCTAGTTTTAAATTTTCGCGTGCTGCCCTTGCTCAGCCTGGGAATCTTAGTAGTCGATCCTAACGAGTCCCTGCGCTGCATACTTTGTGACAAATAACAATATTCTTATTATTTAATGGCGATGCACACGTACCGCAACAAGTTCATGTTAAATTACTTAACGCCGCCTCTTCGATCTCGTAGGTATCAAAAATGTCTCTTAGATTTTTCAATGACAATCTTAGCGATTCAACTAAAGTTACACACAGGGCCTACTCAGTATTGATATAATGCTAACTCAACCCTGTTGTATAGTATAACAGTATCACAAAATTCTCACAAGATATAATCAACACACAAAACACAATTGATAATCAGATAAGAATATCCTACAGGTGACAGCGACCTTTCAACAGTATCAATTTACCGCCACACTCTTATCAAGTCACTGCTTTGTTAAAATCAAACAAGATAAAATTTTCTGCCGCTCGGAGGGTTACCTGTGATTTGGACCCTCCGAACCAACAAATTCTAAAAAAAATTTCTTTTCCGAGATTATCGACCCAAAAACGATTGCGGTCCGGAAAAGTGGTCCAAAACGTCGTCGACTTATGGTACCAAAAATATCCCGATCGGTTGGCTAGTCTTTGAGAAATTGCCAAAAACGTGTTTGTCCAAATGGGCTTTTGTCACCAGCTATATAGATTCTGAGTAACTTTTTCCGCAATTCCTATTGAAAGTGCCTTAAAATAATTGAAACGAGCGTAGTAGTCCTGGACGGCACTGGAAAAATGCAAAAAACTGGACCAAAATTGGTTTTGAGGCAAAAATTTGGCCAATAACTATCAAATTTGGACCCTCCAATTCCTTCCTTTTCCAATCCTTAAGTCGTTAGCTCTATCCACGGAGCTAATCGGAGGTTACTCAAGAATTTTTCTGCCAGCCGAGCACGTTATGCTAGCACGCTCCTAATACAAAAAAATTTTATTGCTCTAACTCTAAAAACTCAAAAACTCGATCCCCAAAACAGATTGACAAATTTCAGAAAATTATCGAAATTTTGATAGAAAAATTTTGGTTTTTTCCAACTTTTACTAAGTCTTTTCTCACGCGGTTTCTTTAGTTAGGGGGATCGAACTAAGTAGCTACTCCCTATATGAGAGCTTTTTGCTGTTCGGAAAAGCTCGGTTATCCAAAAGTTTGGGGGTCTACAGTTTGATCGAAAATTGATAATTTTCGAAAAAATTTGGGTGTTTCTTGGGTCTAATTAGGAGATAAGTAATATATAATAAGGATAATAACCTATTAATGAATAGTACTATACCCTCCTTTGCACCAAAATACCCGAATTAAGACCCTTAACTCGCAAATTTGTAATCGATCGAGGGTACAATCGGACCGCGCCAATCGTGCCCCCCACCACTTAAGTTTTGATGAAATAGTACCAGAACGATACCAAAATTGTTTCAACGATACCCAGCAGTCGTTATGGATGTTGTCCCTGATGTCCTTGTTGTTGAGTGTGAAACACGTCGGTCAGCTTGCGACTCTACCCTCCGGCCACCGGCAAAATTACCATTAACGTGCTTAAAAACTCAAATTACACTCAAGGGAGGGTATCCAACCCTTCACCAAAACACACAATCTTCCTATCAAAAAAGATATAAATCAATCTGAAACAACAACGAATAGGAAGGTCAGATCACATCTCGTCCGGAAATAACATATAAACTGTCACTTTAAGTTTTTTACTGTTTTTGGTCTTTTTTGGATTTTTTTTACTGTTTTTTGTACTTTTTTGTTTCCAAATAAATTTATTTTTGGCTTTTCCTTGGTTATGCACTATTTTTGTTTGGTTTTACGCTTTCTCTTTAATTGTTTTTGGTCCCGGGACCTTGGGACAAGCGGGCTCATGACTTCCCACCTGACCCTCGGGCCCCCGGAATTTTCGGTGTTAACTAAGTTAAAAAGCTAAATAGTACTAGACGGAGGGTACGCACCTCCCCCCTAGTACAATAACGGTCATTAAGGCCTCTAACTCGGGCTTACGCCCGGAGCGGAGGTTTCGTCGCTGAAACGCTTGCTGATCATGATGGTCTTATGCCTTTGACAGGCTCACCCAGGAGCGCCATAAAAACGTATATGTAACATTCGCCCAAATATTACACAGCGACGGAGCGAAGAAAAAGTACCTATGAACGACTGGCATGCGTCAGTTACCTTACTCCTACTCGTTTTACACCGTCTCGACCTTGCCAGTTGATTTTCTGGTCTGTTTAGGGCTAAGTAAAAAGTTACTATTTTCAGGCCATCAGTCAAACGACTTTTGATCAGCTTTCGTTTACATGCGAACACAACCACATAGCTGAGTCTCGGATCCTCAGACTACGTGATTGCCATTAAAAACATGGCTCGAACAACCTATTTTAATATGTTTTTGTGTGACAGTTCTTTATTAAATCCATTGGAGATGGATTGACTCTTTCCTCTTTCTAGCTACTCATATTCTAAAATATCAAATAATACAGGTGTTAATTCAGAGTTCTACGACATCCAAGTAGCTACAAAGTCAGTCTTATATAGTCCCTTCACATAAAACAGTCTCTGGGGGACCGAGCCTCCGCTCCCGTAATCTTCCCGAGATAACGTTCTTATCTCTTCCAATTTGTGGCACGGGAGGGTTCCGTGGAATATTCCTTCCCCACTGAAGCTTCCTTCTCCACTAATATCCACTGCTAAGAGTCTTATCGTGTGTTGTTGCCACGATAAGAGGCTTCATATTTCTCGTCTCGTGTTCGACCGTTTTCCACAATATTTGTCGTTGTTCTGTTTTTTTTTCGTCCTTTTCCGTCAAAATGGCCGTCTTTTTCTATTTCTCAGAAATAATCACTCTTCGATCGAAATTTTAAAAATAAAAATTCTAGAATATTCCTACCCTCCTTCGCAATAATTTTTCGTAACTAAGGCCTTTATTCGTTTTCTTTCCTGTCGCCGGAAGGTTGCCCTGTGCCAATCTGGCAGAATGGCACATAGTCATCTTCTTTTATCATTATCACTTCCATATCTAAAAAATTCCAAGTATTTTAGTATTTGTCCGCTTCGATTACAGATTTGAATTTGTCTTGTTTCTATGGCTAATTTCTTGTCCAGCCAATTATCTTGTCCCAAGATTCCAAAATTGGGCGACATTCTTCAGTTCACCGTTACCCACATCAATTCAATCAATAATTTCTACATCCAGTTGATAGATGAAGATTTAATGGCAAAACTTGATCGTATTACCGAGGTTGGCAAGCAGTCGCAACACGCGCCCGACATATCAAATGTGGAGGAATGTGAACTGTTCCTAATCAGAGACATAAAAAGAGAGTTTTTGCGTGTTCAGGTTACCCAACGTAACCCTAACTCTCGCTCGGCCACTTTAAAGTTAATCGACGAGGGAACTGAGATTTTTGATGTTGATTATTCCCGTCTTCTACCATTTTCGGAGCAGCTGATTTTCGCACCTTTGTCTCATAGAGCCTCACTTTTTGGTATAGTGCCTAATGCAGGCTACGAGACACACTGCAGAGATTGCTTCGCGGAATTTGTGTCTGAAGATTCAATTTTCCAAGGTAATTCTAACCAACTAGCTGATAATATGGTCGTTTTGCGTTTGTTACAACTAAGTTTTTAGATTTTTCTCATAAGCTATCCCAAAAAACCAATGAAAAAATGACTCAGAAACCTTTCAGCTATCACTGATAAGGTGAAGTACTTAACGCTTGCGATTAGCAACTGTTTCTTAAAATATTTTCAAGTATAAATTTTCGGACTTATATTGTTAACTCGACTCGTGTTTTGATAGCGTCGAGGAAACAAACAATGTGATTGAGCAACTGATATTTTGAACAGGTAAGGTTAAAGATCTCCATGCGTCGCTGATGGCAGTTTCGATTGAGATGCTTTTTGACGATTCAAATACAGACAATTCTGTTAACGCATTGCTACTGGAAACAAACTTCTGTACATCAATTCGCAAGTTTCCTACCAATGGTGTCAATTCGAACAAACCACATCCGATTGCGAAACTCACTGAAAGTGAGTCAATGTCAGATAACAATCAGCAAAGTGAACTTTACGATTTCAGGTTGTTTGATCAAAGTATATATTAACATTAAGTAGCCTCAAGAAATTTTTCGCCCTTTAAATTTATTGTGTACGCGTACCTTCAGTGGCAACAGTCAGAAAAGAAAAAAAATACAATCAGTACCTTTTTCCTGCCTATATCTACACTGAGCACACTACTCGCAGAGTGATTAAAGTTTTGAAAAATTAATTTTATTTAAATTGTTTTACCCAATGATTTTTGTGTCCTACTTGCACAGTAACCTGTTATTTTGTTTTTCTTAGCTGAAATTATAGTTGTCTGAAGTTGAATGGTGCTTATGAGATAGTTAGAAATATACTGAAAAGACAACTTTGATGCAAGCTATTATATATTGTAATAGTCATTGTTTTTTAAGTTTTGGACAGAATTCAACTCGACAGAGAACTGCAGAGGAAGCCATCAGTGGGTTATCTGGAAGTATTTGTTCTTTTTACCAGACTAAAGGCTTCTGTAAGTTTGGTTCCAAGTGTCAGTTCCTGCATGACGTCGAGAAAGGGGCGGCTGTAACGGCGAATGTTGAGAGATCAGATCCTTTTGAGGGGCTAGATGATGTGCCTGAGAGTAGCTTCGACGTTGAGCTCACGCACTTTGAATCTCCGTCGCTGTTCTACCTCAAGTTAGCTCTATTATTTGTGTAACATGTCAGGCGAAGTAGCCTCAAATTGAATCATTGACAAAGCGCACTGATACAACAACATATTTGCTTAAATTTGCCATGAAACTTGTGAATTGTTCAGAACGCGCTGAGTAAAATTAGGCTGATAAAAGCACATTGTTGAGGTTTTTCTGAAATACCTGATACTGTATAATCTTTGAATACCTGTATAATATTTTTGAAAATAGTTCACATCTCAGTTCGGTTACTATGATCGAATTGAATTCATGTAAGAAATTCATCTACAGCAGGACTGTATTGTGAAAAGGTCTGCGGGCTTAATGTTGGTGCATAAATTAAACGAAAAATTGAGTTGGACCTTTCAAATTACTTCTGTAATGCAAACTAATTGCACCTCTGTCTGTTTAGACGGAAGTGTGAGTCGGAATCAGATGTTGTTTCATTCCGTGAATACTGCAACAGGAAGTATAACAGTAAGGACATGTTGATGCAGCACGAGGGGGAGCCATGTTACCCTGCAGTGGGGGAGATGATAGCTGCATATGATGACACACTGCACAACTGGATAAGGGCAAAGTGAGTGGTTTCAGGCAAAAAAAACCGAATGGTAGATCATTGTATATTTAAAGCAGCCAGAGCCATAAATCGGAGATTTATTTGAGCTTAACTCAGATACAGGTTATTACCCAGAGATCAGTTTGAAAATTGCAGGACACGTGAGATTTGAACCCTCAATCATATGATTGCTTGCCGAAACTACTACTACTACTACTACTACCGTACGACAATATTTTTGACTCATATCTCGAAATTGCACTTAAAGCATGACATGGATGTATTGTTTGGCGAGAAAAAAGCAAGTATCAATGTTTGACCGTTTTTGTCAATTACCACATCAGAATCACTGAAAAACAATAATCATCGTTAACAATAAAAAACACGGAATAAAAATGAGCAATAAAATAGTGCAATTGAGTTAACAGAACGTTAAAACAACAGTTGAATTAGAAGCGCAGCATTGGCTGGCACTGCTGGTAATCCTCTTACTGATTCAGGGCTGGAGCTTTCCTCGAGATGTATAAGGCTGCAAGCATTTTTTGGATCTCTATGCTTCGGTCCAGAATCAGAATCTTGGATGGATCTACCAAAAAAATTGAATCTAGAAAGAATCTATCCAAGCAATAAAATTGTTGAGCAAGGAAATTTTTTAAAAAGTGTTTTTAATATATAGAGTTGATGAATTTAGGTTGCTATATTTCGACTCCGACACAGACGAGGGTGTTCTTTTTGATGTGGACTCTGGTCGAGATTCTACAGTGTCGTTCGAGCGAATGCGGCGCCTGCCGAAACAGTTCAACATGAAACCGAAAGTGTTTGCAGCGCGACTAGAAGTGAGACCTCTCGCAATGAAATCTTGGAATGAAGGAGTTATCGAACTTGTAAAGAATTCGTTGCTCGCTAGTGAACGAATAATTTGTTCCATTGAATCAGTTCTTCCTGATGGATTTCAGATTGTGAGTCTAACGACGTGGCCTGCAACTGAAAACATGACTGATTTGTTAATTGAAAACAATCTTGCCGTGGAGTATCAGTCACCAATATTGTCAGAACATTTGACCGTTATTCCTGGGTGAACATGAGGTCTATTTTTTATTGTGCCTAGATCGCTTCTCTGATTGTTACAGTGATCTAAAAAACAGCCGATACTTTCTTGTTTAATGTGTTTCTGTTTGTTTGCGTGCTAGGTTTTCTCTTAGTATTACATTTCGATTTTCAATCGCTACCCGAAATAATTAAGGTATAAGATTGAATTATTGGAAACTGAGTCTAAATTCACCAATCATAAACTGTCATCAGAATTTTGAATCTAGGACTTAATGACCTTTTTACACTTGCGGGCTTCTTTCTTATTGTATTGGTCTGAAGCTATTTGTTTTCTCAGCCTAACTCGCAACTAAAAGTGTTCACTTATTTGGCACTTTTGCTTTAATCACGATCTGTTATTGGAAATTTCCTATCATTTGTTCTCTGCTTTTTTCGCGGCCCCTGTTTGTGATCATTTAAGCGTCCCTGGCTGAGTGGTTAGTGCGTTTGGCTCATAACCTGTAGATCAAAGGATCGAATCTGCAACGGAGCCGAATTTTTATTAATTTGAAGCTTATTGTACTAATTTGAGGCGCTGCTTCTCCTGTGTGAAATGAATAATTTTCTGTAATTTTAAGTCTGATTTGAATTGCAGTTTGAAGTCTGAGGAAACTGAAGTTGTCTTCCTTTCTCTCTTTTCTGCCCACAGGAATTTATGAACTGGCTTGCGGTAAGAAAAAGCTCCAAAGCTTGAATTGGCCCATATAAACAATCTCTCCCTTAGATAGACCAATTGAACTATCTCACCCATAAAATTAAATGGCAAATTCAAGTAATAAGGCCTGCATGTACTATGCTCAAATCTGAGTAGCTGAAAAGTATGAATTTTAACCAAGTGAACGATATCCTCCCTAATATGATTTAAAAGGGAAATAGTTCACTTGGTGCATCCCTTGATTTTACTGGGTTGAATTTGCGAAAAACGTTTCTGATAAAACATCTGATGGTTTTGCATTGTGATGATTTTTGAACTTGCGATCAGCTAAGTGTATTATTACGAACCTTCTATTTCTGAAATCTGCTTCTTTCAGCTACTGCTTTTTTGAATTTTTTTGATTAACCATCTTTAGCAAATCAGTAAGAAATTGAGCGTGCTTTATTATGAAACTTGACACAAAATCAGTCAGCTGTCCATTTAGTGTAGTGAAAAGCGCCTGCTCTTAGGTCCATTGGGCTATGATTTTTTCTGTGTTATTAAGACTTTAATTTTTTTGGCTTGTTGATCTTCAGCTCAAATCTTGTCATCATATTTCCCGTTGTTTTTTTATACAAATATAAAAAAAACAAATTATCAATTTTAGTCGTCCTAAATCTAGATATCGAACCATTGTCTATATAGCGGCAGAATGTTAGATTTAATTTCTTTTATTCGCAAGTTTTGCGGCGTACTATTTGACTGAAACTTAATCGGTTTGGTTTCCGAATATGTGATCTCGAGATCAGATTTTATTCAGGCACATAGCAGTTTTATCTCAATTTTATGGGTTTTATCTTGTTTCCTTCTGCTTGTTTTAAACCGTTTTAAAGGTACTTTTTGCCGTTTTTTCGCTTGTGTTTACGAAGTGCAACGGTATGTTCTCCGTTGTTTTTTTCCAAATGGGAAATTCTCCGTTTCAAAAAAAATTGTCTAGTTATGTTTTGTCGGCTTAGTTGCCACATCTTAGATTTTTTTGCTTTTGTAAAGTTTTCATTGTAATTGCTTTTTATGTTTTCATTATACTCTTGCAATTTGTAATTCTACTACCTTGACTTCGCACATTTTCCTATTTGTAAATTTTTTGCTCAAAAATTTTTTCGGACGAAATGATTTTGGCTTGTTTCATCGTCTTATAATTCTTGCAAGCAGAATGTGTTTATGCAAATAGAACATCCTTTCAGACAGCATTGTGATTTTTATTGTTTTTTTTCCTTTTCTTTTTTCTCGTTTTAATAGGTTTCGGCATGTTTTATATCGGATTATTGGCCCCATTGTGCATAGTTTGATGAGCGAAAAAAATATTTGTGTGCGTTTTGAGGGGGATGAGCTTCAATAATTTTTTTTATAGTTTTGAATTTTTCCGAAATTTTTTTTTTGACTCTAAGGGTTTCTGCTCAGACATTTTTTTCTACCGCCTGTTAATTTTTCCGATGGTAACTATTTACTTTCTATTATATTATTTTTTTGGTGTAGATTTAGTTTTTTCGACTTTTCTTAGCTTTTTTGACAATTTTTTTTCAAGTATTGCATTTGTGTAAAATATGCATAGGGTTTATTAATCCAACCTTAAAATTAGCGGTATTTCCTGATTCAGCATTCAATTTAGCGTTAATTTGCGATGACATTGCACCATGTCTGCGCAATTGTTTCGAAAGCATTGGGAGCTTACGTTTCTACCTCCAAATCTGAGAAAGCTGATAAACATCTATCTTGACATCAATCATTTCCACACAAGTGAGCTGAATTGCCTTTATCTGAAATTAGTGACCAGCTTTTTGAGTCGTTTTTTTCTGTGGCGGATCTAGTATTTTGAGAGGTGGGCGAGTTTTCAAAAAAGTTGAAACCTTTTTGACCAAATTGGTTTTTCACGCTCTTAAAAAGCAGTACAAAGATGCAAAAATTGAGAAACATTTTCTGTGCTGCTCGCGAATATTAAAAAAAAATAGTTCAAAAATTCCATTTTGACGTTTTTTAAATGTTTTTGACCTAAAAATAGCGTTATTTTGCGCGCAATTCAAAATCATATATATTGGCGGCAAAAAGGTTGTTAGTAAAATCTGTGGGCAAAGTGCATGAGTAAAATTGGACCAAAAGTGTTGTGAAGTAATTACATCCCTCAAATCCGCCTGTGGATTGTTGGCAGATATATTTCAGTATAATGAGATTCTTTCATGTTAATTCACACTTTAACCTGTAGGGCACATGCCTCACATCAGAAAGGCTTCGTAGATTATTTCATTGCAGCCTGTCTGTTTTAAGGAAAGATATCTTTGCCGTGAAAGTAGCCCTGTTTTCAGTCTAATTTTGCTTGGTACTTTCAGGTTGAATGCATTTGGTTACAGAAAGTTCCGTCACAGAGTGAACACCTTCCTGTAAATAGCTCCCAGTTTTGTAAATGAAAATATGGATATATATGTCTGAATTGTGCATACCAGAGTATTCCGTGTACTTATTGAATTCTTATTCGCTGAGTGACAATAATATGACCTCTAAATGGACGCTGATGTGTAATTGATGGTCATCACATGGAGTTCAACTTCGATGTTGATCAGTTCCTGCCGGACAGGGTCACAAAAGTTCAGTTCAACAACAAGTACAGTCTCAACAGCTCAAATCTGAGGTATTTTTTTTTCGCAACCCGAGATTTATCAGTTTTAGCTCCTATATAAGTCTCTTATATAAGTCTCGTCGTTTTTTTGGAAGAGTCATACAATTTGTTCAGGCTCGAATTTACTTTTTCGCTGTTTGGCGTTGGTTTCTTTTTAAATTCAGTTCATTTCCTTTGTTAAAAGGAAGGCGAACTCCACTATCGAACAGCAAAAGTGTAAAGTTCGCGAGAAATGTGATCCACTTCTAAATTCGAAAAATTAATTTAATTATCAGATTTCCAAGCGAAATAAAAGATTTACCTATTGATCTTGTTTTCTTAAATTGGTTAAAATAATTTTATCAAAAAAAAACAGTTAATCATGATTTGTTCTAAATTTTTTTCTTTTTGATTTTTATGTTCTATTTTTTCTTCAGAATTGGAAAGTTGGGATTTGAAAAAAACAAGCATTATTTTTGTTAACTTTTTTTATTGACTCTTTTCCAACTGTCTGTTGGCTATGTTTCCAACTGTCTGTTTTCCAACTGTCTGTTGGCTATGGACTCATCTTTACCTTGTTTCATAATGTATTCAAATTTGGCGTCCACGTCCAACTTAGCCATAGCTCCTGGGTTCGAATCTGACCAAAACCTGTTTTTTTTTAAACTGGAAATTTTGTTTCAAATAAAATTGTCGGCCAATTATTTGTCTGCTTATCTGTTGTCGGCTTAGTTGTCATCATGGAATTGTTTTTTTTTCTGCGCGTACTTTTCTTCAATGTTGTTTTTAGTGTTTGATTTACGCCTACGTTTTGTAATTTTATAACCTTGACTTCGTATTTCCTTCTTTGTTTTTTTTCGCTAAGAAATACCTCGGCCAAAATTATTTGGCCTATTTTTCATCAAACTTATGACCTTATTTTTGGCCGTTTCAGCATTAACACAATTTTAGCACTCCCCTCCGCACTTTTCGAGTTGGTTGTATGTTTACCAATCGGTTTGTTAAATATCTCTCAGAAACGTCTCCTGATTTTCAAAAAAGGGTATCAATTGAGAGACCTTTTACTCCTCTATGTGCATGCGTACTCCCATAGCATCCTTTTCACTTGACCCCTCTGTCTACAGCCTTCGAAAAAGTGTGGCTGATTATATAACCCATATTTTTGATTTTTTTTTTCGTTTTCTCAAAAACTACCCCTCTCAAATATGAGTTTTTGGTTTCAATGAATTGATCTGTTTTGAAAAGCTCGCCTGCATAAGTTGCTACGACCAAATAACAATTTTTTTCCACATAAAGTTATGGCCCTCGGAATAGTCAATTTTTTTTTATTTTTGACCGTTTTGTGTATCTTTTCGACTATATTTATACAAGCGAAGCGAAGTGTATTATTACGAACCTATTTTTTTCCCAGCGTAAGTCGCAAATAAAAGTGCTCATTAGTGGCAGTTTTGGTATATTTTGATTTCATCATATTTAAGTGTATTTAAGCATAGGTAATTTAATAGCATATTGTGCTGGTTTATTTTTGGCTAGTGTTAGGTCATGTTAAAAACAACAGGTGTTATGAAAATGTATGAGATTTGTTAATTTTTTTTTCGACCCTGTGGAGAATTTTTGAACTCTTCGCAAAAGTTTCATTTTTTCTCAAAAACCACTGAACCAATTTTCCAAGCAATAGTGTCATTGGAAAAACTGGCTGCTATTCTATGTGCCTGCATATTTTGCTAGTCTCTTTTCAGTTTACACCACGTTCTACGGCTTTCGAAAGTTTCAGTAGGTGGATTTTTGACTTTGAATTTGTTCATTTTGTCAAACAATAAATGCATAAACCTGAGATGAACGTTTAAACTAAAGAACTAATCATTGGGTTCTCTCCTTCTCAAGTGGCTTTTCCCTAAATTCGGAAGAAAAAAGTTATGGCCTCAAACAAGCCCATTTTTTGACATTTTGGTTTCTTTTTCAACTTTTCTCAAAAAACTACTCTGTCAAATCGGAGAATAAGAGTTCATCCGGAAGAAAAAACGTGGTATGCGAATCTTCCTGTGCAAGGGGCTATGCCCTGCATTTTGAAAAAATATGGCCTTAGAAAATGTACAATTTTTGAATTTTTGCCCGTTTTTTTGGAAACGTCTTATTTTCTTCAATAACTAACCTGCTGATTTTGAGGTTGATAATTCATTCAAACTAACATCGTGCTTAGATTTTTGTTGTGTAATCTGTTTTGCTTTATTTGTTTTGTAGGAAAGCCGATATGGACATCGGAAAAATCTACTTTGAAGTTTTTGCCGTTTTTTTAAAGAAATTTCATCACTGTTCTCGAAAGCTACTAGCTAAAGCCGATATTAAGGATTCAATCTAGAAATCAGGTTGTGGAAATTTTCCCTGCATACGAGACTATTACCATGCTTTATTAGAGAAAATTTTTTGATTTTAGGAAAAGCCAATTTTTTCGATTTTGATCGTTTTTTGGAATCTTTTTCAATTTTTTTTCCGAAAAGTAACCAGCCAAATCTGAGATCAAGAATTCAGTTGAAAGATCGATTAGTAACTTTTTTTCTTCAAATATGCAGCTAATCCACTAGTTACGCAAAAAAAATCACTAGGGGTCCATTTTTGAAACTTTCAAAATTACGCATTCCGGCATCAGTACAAAATATGATCAAAATATTAAAACATGTAAATCTAGCATAAGCTGGGCAACTATTTTTTCTTCCAAGTGTCTGTGGTGTGATTGAGAGGAAGTGAAAATCCTAATCAACCGGTAGGAGATCCAAATCCTAACATTGAAATAGATAGTTTTTTGGTCGAGTTTTTCCTGCATCGCATTGGCAATTTGATAGAAACTGCGGCTGCTTTATTGATGGCTAGTGTAAGTAAAATTACCAGCAGTCATGAAGCAAGATTGTGTTACTCCGAAGCCTTGCAAAAAAGTTTCTCAACGTCTTTTTAACTTTTTTCTTATTTCACTTAGTTTTGCCTGTTTAGAGATCGTTTTTGCATTTTCCTCGCTTGTGCTTGCGAAGCACAGCTTCGCCTCTGTGTCGAAAACTAACCTCTCAAATCCGATATTTTGTTTTCAAGAAGATAACGTTTAGTGAAAAGTTCTTCTGTATAAGTGGACAATAACAATAAATTTTACATAAGAAGTTAGCGACCTCTGAAATTTCAAATTTTTGATTTTTTGACCGTTTTTTCTTAAATTTTTTGAGTAATCTCGAAAACTATTCTGCCATTGCTATATTTGAGTCCATTTCTTAGAACGGGTTTTGCAATGCTCATGCGAATACGCCCATTTTTCTACTCCAATTGTTTTGGCGCTCGGAAAAGTTAAAAATTTTGATTTTGTGACCGTTCTTTACAGTTTTTGACTTTTCTCGAAAACTAACGTCCCAAAAATGAAATTGCAGGCTCAATCGATATAACAGGCTGCGTGAATCCTTTCTGCATAACGTTTCTGCATAATTTTTTTACTTGAAAAGCTGCGATTCTCGGAATTGTCAAATTTTTGATTTGTTGACCGTTTTCTGGATTTTTCTCGCTAACTATCCTTCCAAATCTGATATGATAGTTTTAATCGAATAAACAGGTGGTTAAAAGCCTACTTTACAATTGGCTTTGCCCAGTTTGTTGAACAAAATAGTTATAGCCTTCAAACAGTTCAAAGTTCTGAATCTATGACAGTTTGTTGGAAACTTATTGACTTTACACGAAAACTACCGGTCCAATTATCAGGTTGTGTTCAATCGAGAATCCCTGGTTTTACAAATCTTCTCTGCTGAAGCGGCCTTAACCTGCTGTTTGCAGAAAAAAGTTATGGATTTTGGAAATTCTTTTGAACGTTTTTGAGAAGTATGACCGTTTTTTGGAAACTTTCTTTACTTAATTTACTCAACCAAATCTGAGATGAAAAGTTCCAATAAAAGAACGGGGTGCGATAGTTGTTTCTGCCGAAGCAGCGATTCTTTAATTCTTTGCATGAAAAATTTATCTCCTTGAGGAAATTGATTATCTCAAAATTTTTTACTTAATTTTTTTTGGTAGAGAAACAACTAAGGTTTGCAATTTTTGAAATTACACTTTTCGTACCGCATCAGTATAGCAAATTCATTCAATATCAAACACGTTCATCCAGCTTGTTTGACTCGTAGTTGTTTTTTATCGAGACACGAAAATTTTGGTTGACCTAATTTTTTTTGCTTGACCATCTAATTTTTTTTTCTACTTTTTTTACGCAAGTGGTGCGAAGCTCGGCTTCGCCTCTGTGTTCAAACAATCCGCTGAAATAAAGCACTTCATATCAAATGGTTGAAGTGATGTTCACTGATTAACCTTGCGGTAAGCAAGTGTTTTGCAACCGGGTACTAGACTTTTTTAAATATAAAAATCAGTTCATAGATTTGTTGTTCTTGTCTGTAACGCTTGGAGTGAAATTCTATTGCCTTCGGTGTTGTTTGAGTGTGTCTGGTCAGTTGAATTAGCTAAATCACCACTAGCTTATTGGATTGTTTTGATTGCAGAATAGGAAGTACTGGTTTGGATCTTTATTTACTTGTTACGGTCGAAGTTTTTCTATTGGGACAGTCAACAGGAAGCGACAGGGGCGGGAAAAAAACTACGTGAAGTTACGGCATTTTGGCCGAGTAAGTGCACAGAAACATGGATGGGGTAAGAATATTGGATCAATGTCTTCAATATCTGCACGCAGAGCAAATTCGGCGGTACTGGACGAGGTACTGGGGAAAACCTTTATCTATGCCTAGAGTAACGGACTCAGGATGAAATGCATAACAGGAAACCGCACCTGAATCTCGGATTTTCGATGCATTCAAGAAGTTTGTCAAAAGTAAGCGAAAGGTACCAGTTACTATCAAGGAAAGGGAGAGGAGCTGTTCCACGCAGTTTTGAGAGGCATAGAGGCCGATGGAAGTGCGTATAGTTCGGGATCTGTTCATTTTGAACATCTCGAATAAATAGGCGCAAACGGAATTGATGTATCTTCGGAAACACTAGACGAACTTGCAGGATAGCTCTATTTTATGAGAAAGGAGAAAAAAGAGAGTTTCAAAATAAGAGTGATCTTCAATTGCCCTAGGTACAATTGATAGTGTCTGGTACCAGTCCTTCGTATTTGATTTGGATCTTTTTAAGCTCGAATTCTCAGATGACTGGTATTTGAATTCGAAGATAATTGAAATTGGTGGACATACCCAAATCTGTACTTGAGTCAGCCAACAGATGTATTTCGAGCGTGTCTGCTTTTTCAACGCTCTTTGTATTCGACATTTGTTTTTGTTGGTTTCATTCATGTTTTTTATTATATCAATTATTTTTTCGTTTTTTGTTTTTTTTTCGGCCAAAAGGTTTCGATTTATATTTTATGTGATTTTTGGCCTTACATTGTGTCGTTTCATGAGCAAAAAAAGTTTTTTTTTTCTCGATGGTGGAATGAATTTTTTTTAATTTATAAAAAAAGTTTCTAAAACGGGTTCAACATGTATCTGCTCAAGAAATGCGGCGGTTTTTGAACCGCTTGTAAGGTTTTGTTTTGATGCTTATTTTAACAGTTGTCCTACTTTGAATATAAAATGAGCTTTATTCAATAGAAATCGATGCACAGGCTTGAAAATTGGTATCTAATTTACAATCCTTCTCTAATCTGCAGCTCACTCATCGAATCAATCTCCACACTCTGGAGTTGTGTACAATTTAGACGTAGAAAACCTAAAGCATCGAAAAAACAACGAAGTGGCTTAAATCACAACAACCTTAATAAAAGTTCTTTGAATTCGAAATAAAATTTTAGAACAGAACTTTTCTTGCAGCTGTCTAAATATTTCAGCTTATGTAACCGTAAGCTAATTTTGCATCACGTTTTTTGAGATTAGCAAAAAAATATAGAAAAACAGGCGAAGATTTTGTGTTCACTTTGGTCTGAATTTGCACCTTAGTGTGGTAGTCAACCAGTTATCTTGTGTGACTCTTAGTTTTTGAAATACTAGTTATTGTTCCGACAATTTAAAACATGTGAAGGAATTTTGTATTCAAGTGTCTTTTTTTTCTTTCTTTTTATTTTCCACGCAAAACCAGCTACCATAAATAAGCATCGGACTGGGTTGAGTGATATATCGTATTAAAACCTTTTCAGTCGTCGTGATTCGAGCGACATTAAAAAATTTCAAACTCATTGTCGTGAAAAACCAAACGGGTCTGAAATTTTTGATTTTCGTCCAATTTTGAACGAGTGAGCAGGCTTACATTAGCTTATTTAGGCTTATTTTAAGCCTTGAAATATTAGTTTTATTCAAGTGAAGTCAGTTTTTGGCTTCATCTTAGGCATCAAAAATTTGAAATAATTAAAAAAAAAATTTCTTGTTATTATTGTCTCCAAAATTTGTTTTGCAATTTGTATTTTTTACAATGACTGACGAAAATACCTAAGCTCTACTTTTTCGCTGAGATTCTTTTATCACACCCCGCCTAAAAGACGACACTAATTTGAAAAAGTAAAGTTTTGTTGTAAATTCTTAAGACTGTTCGGAACATTCTGTGCTACTTGAACAGTAACCGGCTATCCTTGTTTCTTTTATTTTTGTTCTCAACGCAAAATCAGGTGCCACAATTAATCACCGAAATGGGTCGAATGATATACCAAATTCATGCCCTTTCAGTAGTGATTCGAACGACATTAGAAATTTTCATAAAGTTTTTTCATTATCGAGAAAAACTGGTTAAAAATTTTTGATTTTAATTTGGAGCACACTTACAGCAGCCTAAATATGCTTGTTTGTTACCCTTAAAACTTAGTTCTAAGCAAAAAAATGTTGAAGTTTTTCACGCCATTTTGATTGTTTTGTTTTTCTAATCATTTTTCTTCAAAAATTTGTCCAATTTACCTGTATTACTATGACTGTCGAATATTCCTAAAATTTAGTCTTACATCAGAACCTTTAATCACACATTGCAGAAAAAACTGCTCTCATTTGAAAAAAAAATTGTAGTCTTTTTAAGACTGGTCTGTGCTATTGTTGTTCCGACCATTGAAAATGGGGAGGAACTTTGTATTCGGGTGTTTTAGTTTTTTTGTTGTTGTTTTCCAAGCAAAGTCAGCTGCCACAAATAATCATCCGACAGGGAGGGATGAGTGATATGTCATATTAATGCCCTTTGAGTCGTGATTTGAACGACAATTGAAAATTTCAAAAGTTTTCGGTGTAGAGAAAAACCGGTTTGAAATTTTTGATTTTTGGTCTACTTTCGAGCTAATTAGTAAGGTAGTTGTTAATTGAAATAGCTTATTTAAGCCGTGAAAACTTAGTTTTTCTCAAGTAAAGGTAGTTTGTTTTTCAGCGGAATTTTAGGAATCAAAAACTTGAAAATTCAAAAAATTTCAGCAAAAAATTTTGAATAATTTTTTTTTCGTTTTTCTAGTCATTTTTCTTCAAAAACTGTTTTCCATTTGACCTGTTTTACTATGACTCTCAAATATGCTTACGTTCTATTTGCAGAAAAAAAACGACACCAATTTGAGAAAACATTTTTGTATTTTTAAGACTGGTCGGAACATTTGTGCTACTTGCACAGTAACCGGCTATCCATGTTTGTAAATGATTTTGTAAATGTTTAGACATTATGGACTCGGGGGTGATTCGCCTTCTCTAGCCACTATCGTGGATCGAATGGGCCATGCCTCCTCAAAGGTAAAAAATGAAATGGTGTCCATACATTGTGATCCAATTGAGTAGGCATACAATTACGTACAATTACAAATCTGGATTTTAAGTTGAATTACATACCAGAAGTCTAGCTAGCTCTTTCTGATCTAGGCTCAGGGACTGAATCACGTGATCACGACTTTCGACAGGTTACTGTCTGCCAGTGACCAGTCTCTCTACGTCATGCGCTCTGAGGAGTAAGTATAAAACGCATCTAAATAATTGATAGAAAGTATTATCGAATACTTGAAAGATAAAAAGGTGCAGTTTGGTGGTTCACGATGTGCCATTTTGGAGTCTTAGTTCAGAGTTCCACGCAATTTAATTTTCCTCCTGAAATTTGCAGGTATGTTTAACCTTGAGCAAAGAATAAGGATAATTTTTTGATGGGAACAAACTTTTGGGGTGAAAATGTGGTCGATTTCTTTGGGTGAAATATTTAAATTGATCTGAAAGAAATCAAATTGTAACTTTTGTTTTAGACTGCCCAATGTGGTTGTTGGAATCATGAAAATGGGACCCAAAAACTTGTTCGTCATGGTGAGCTAATATCTACTAATCATTCTGTTCTATCAAGAGTTGAGTTAAGGATGGATGTTTTCTTCGTGATGAAGTACTTGACTATGGACAATAATCGTTACATCTCATTAAGATCTGCAAGATATCCGATTAAGTTTATCCATAATGATGTATGTTGGTAACCGGCTCTATTTTTTGCATATAATCCTACCCTGTGTTATCAAGCTCGCAACGCGTTGGCGCGACTGCGGAGGTCACTATTTTGTTGTTTATGCTATTTGATTTAACACTGCTCCAACAATAGGAGTTAAGTTGTATGCTGCTGGAACGGTATGCTGTTGAAGTTGTATGTTCGAAGAACGCACACCATTCATAATGTAGTATAAATGTTGCTGCTTTTAGGACTTGGAGGGTCGTCAGATAGAGAGCAAGTGTCTCTGTGTATTAGACTTCTATGTACACGAGAGTATGCAGAGAAGGGGATTCGGAAGGGAACTGTTCGACTTCGTACTACGGGTCAGTCATACTTATTATTAGTATTGAACTAATGGAGTACAGTTGTTGTTTCATGCTGCTGATAAACTAGACATATAGGTATAAGATGTAAAACAAGACCGTTCGTACCAGCGCAAAGGCCTGAGTGTTTCGACTGCCATTTATGAAAACGATTTTTTTTATTATAATAAATGATAAGTCAGAACAAACTGAAATAATTGATCTAAACTACAAAAAATTGAATGTTAATTAAAACATATGGGTAAAATGAACAGGAAGTACCAGAGAAACTAAGAATCATAAAATCATACTGCTCGGCAGTTGAAAGCTGAAAAGTTTTCAGCTATAAAAGTCATAGGACTCAACTGAGTATCCAACATTAGTAGACTAGTATGCAGGCTGCTATTCCCAATCTTTGGAAGGAGGAGCGCGGTTTCTCTGCTGTCGCCGGAGCAGGTGGTCATCTTACCACAGATCTCACACAGAAAACAAAGCGTATCCGTCCCCAAAGCTCCACTGGTCTCTGTGGCGACAGGCTGGACAATAAAATTCGCAGTTAGCTCTTCGTAAGTGCGTAACTTCCTTGTTTCCGCCGCGTCTGCTACAGTGGGGCCTTCTAGCTGCGCAATGGCGCGGTATGCTTGTGCTAATCTGTGGCTACACGTGAATTCCCATACCAGTGCTTTACCATGAGACCATGGAAAAAGTGTTTTGCCATCTGGTCTTTTCGCATTAGATAAACACAGGCCAAAGGGTTCTAATTCTGATGGTATTTGCGCTGCGGACATTGCTTGTTTAATGACTTTGTTCGCGTATCTGTGTCTTGTGTGGCGGCTTTTGATCTTGGAGCTTGTTAGGGCGTGGTTTTCTTCACTGTCGGACTGAGTGCCACACTTGCATGTGTGCGCTGAACAAACTGAAGCACCTAGCCGAAGTCCAACTTTAATTTGAAACTGGCGGTCATCCATACGTAGGCCGAGGTTTGTAGAAGGTATAGCTTGCAGCCAATCAGAGGAGCCTTTAGCCGATACACGCAGTAAATGGTCTCTCTGTTTTCCATCATTCAAGGAGTTGACTGGATTCTGCCATGATTTCTGCTTCATCGGATGGTCGGGGATCTCAGTGCTTCCCGGCATGGCTTGCCAGTTCGTGATTGCTTCTTCTATCATGAGTGGCTGAATGAAAAGCTTATTTGATTTAGCACATGAAACCAGGTAGCTAGAATTAGCAGATTTTGATGGAAGAGGCACTCCTAAGCCGCCCATTTTCGCTGAAGTGAGATTTGGTCAGAGTGGTCTGATGCAGCAATGTTGCAGATTTATTCATGGGCTGATAATATTTCTGTATCGAGGGTGAGCAATTTATCAATATGCATGAAAGACATGCTTGTACGTAAGAAATTCTGAAATTAGGGCATAGCGAAATAGTTTTTCAGGAGAAAGTAGGCGTCGTGCTTTCGAAGCTGTGACAGTCTTTGATTGAATGTTTGCAGCTGTTCTACCTTTCCGTGGAAATACTGTTCGAGTGCTGCATCTCCTAGAGTGGACCCAAGCAGTTTTAATGATTCAGGCTGTATTATTTGAATAAGAGGGCAGATCTTGAATGCTGCAGTTATCTCTCTGATATCATTATCAGAACGTGGTCCCAATACCGAGACGAGAATTCACACTTATCATTGAGCAAAAGACCGATCGAGTCACAGGATATTTTGAATGTTTTGAGATCTTCGAGCATTTGAAGTAACATTTTTTCTTTACTTTATCCAGACGCTATATAGAGTACAAATTGATATTTATTTTTACGTATCAATAAAAGCAATTTGATGTCTCTGTTACGCTTTTAAGAATGGAATATATCGAGTGTTGATTATCTCAAATTGACAATTTTCAAACGCCCATAGTTTCACCAAAAAGTGGTCACCGGTAAAGATTTTGTGAGCTCAAGACACATCAATTGCTTCCAGTTGAAAATAACTTCAGTTGAATATGGGTCTTCAATAACTATATGGGTATTCTTCGAAATTCGGAAAATTATATCTGTAATAGGACTTTGTGTGGTGGCATTTCAGCAAGCTAAAGTTTCAGGCTTGCATGAAAATTAAGTACCTGTTTGGTAACCGCCAGTTTCCAACTTCCTCAGAGCAAAAAGCTCATTCTTAAATAAATTTGGCATTCAAACTTTCTTTAAAAAAGCAGTTCAATCCCTATAACCCCGGAAGTAAAAAAATTGATAGCAATGGGTTAATTGATTCTGAGTTGACTTTGCTGAAAAAATTTAATGATCTCAATGTTACCAAACGCAGTTAAAATACGTCAGAAAATGAAAAAATCTTTATAGAGAAGATGGAATTTTTTCGACTAAACAGGAAGCTAAAAATATGAATCGGAGTGTTTCTTGGGATTCTTGGGTGTGAAAGGAAATAAAAGGAACGTAGTGAAGACTCTTATATAGGTCTTGCTGATTTTTTTGTTTCGTATTTTTTCGGGAAAAAGTTTTAAAATATTGATGCTCTTAGGTATATATGTACTTTTTGAGTTCAATTGAAATTCATCTGCCGAAAGCGATGTTAATAGCACTCTCCAAATACGAACGTGCAAATGGCGCGAAAACTCGTGAACGATTTCTAGTTTCGAATGTGGAATTTAATGTTTAGATTTCCAGCGGAATGAAAATTTTACCTGTTGATCCAGTTTTCTCGAATTGGGTTAATGTTATCAAAAAGCGCCATTAATAAATCGCTCTAGAAATTCAAAGGGCATCTATTTTTTGCTTTTTTTCTTTGAAATTCGAAAGTTTTTTTTTATTTTCACTTGCGTTTATTACTCTTTTTCAATCTTCGATTGGCTATGTTTGCACAAGCAGAGCTTGTATTATAGTATGAACTCTCTTTTTTTCCAAACCAAGTTCAAAATATTGTTGCGACAAAATGTGTTCATTTGGATCAAAAACAAGCTATTGAGTACAGTCAATGCTAAGGATAGAGTTGACTTTGCTGAAAAAATTTAATGATCTCAATGTTACCAAACGCAGTTAAAATACGTCAGAAAATGAAAAAAATTTAATAGCGAAGATGGATTTTTTGACAAAACAGGAAACTAAAAATATAATTGGGAGTGTTTCATGGGATTCTTGGGTGTGAATAGAAATAAAATGAACGTAGGAAGACTCATATAGGTCTTGCTGAGTTTTTTGTTTTGTATTTTTTCGGGAAAAAGTCTTAATAGCACTCTCCAAATACGAACGTGCAAATGGCGCGAAAACTCGTGAACGATTTCTAGTTTCGAATGTGGAATTTAATGTTTAGATTTCCAGAGGAATGAAAATTTTACCTGTTGATCCAGTTTTCTCGAATTGGGTTAATGTTATCAAAAAGCGCCATTAATAAATCGCTCTAGAAATTCAAAGAGCTCAAAGGGCATCTATTTTTTGCTTTTTTTCTTTGAATTTCGAAACTTTCTTTTTATGTTCACTTGCGTTAATAATCTTTTTCAATCTTCGATTGGCTATGTTTACACAAGTAGAGCTTGTGTTATAGTATGATTTCTCTTCTTTTCCAACCTAAGTTCAAAATATTGTTGCGACAAAATGTTTTCATTTTGAAAGTTTTCATTTTGATCAATAACAAGCTATTGAGTACAGTCAATGCTAAGGATATTAACTCAGACTGTTATATTTCAAATAGCACTTTAGCTTTAAGGTATCATGGATCTGTAGCGTAGAGGTAGTGAAAGAGACCCGCAACAAAATAAGACTGTTCGAACCTGGGCAGGGTCGGATGTTTTTAATGATCTATTTCGCATACTAGCTAAAATGCTTCCGCTCTATAAATTGAGGCATGTTAGTTGGTAAATTTCTTTTTTTTTGTTTTGAATTGACTGGTACTGCTAATGCGTCATAATTGGCTTGCGTCACTTAGCATTTATGTAGACTCATAATTGGCGTGCGTCACTGGAGAAGTTTTGTAGACTCAAAGTTTTACTCATCCAGTGTTTCCCAGTAGCGCTATCGGTCATATCTTTGCTTGTGTATGCGAATCGCAACTTCGCCTCTGTGTGTATATTTGTTTTAATCGATCGGGACTGTTTATTTCAAAAAAGTTTTTGTTTTTTCTGCTTTGTGCATCCCAATTCAGGCTCCGATGGAATTAATCAATCATTTCAATCAACACATTTTCACTGTTGCATCACGAGCAGGAGTATACACAATACATTAAGTCTGCCCTGAGTTTTAAATTGCGATAAGTTTTTGAGAGTATTAAGTCGTGTTAAATGCTTGAGTTTTTAAGCTAGCTGAAGGAGTAATATTTATCTGAAAAACCAATTTTTGATGAAAAAGAGCAAGCCAATTTTTGATGAAAAAGAGCTAACCAATTTTTGATGAAAAAGCATTATGTCAATTTAGCTTGTAAAGTTGAGCTTTCTAGCGACTTGGAGGACAAATTTTTGTCTAAAAACCCAGATTTTTTTCTCAAACGTTTTTGAAATAGAATCATTTTGCCTTTTAAAAATATCCAAAGTTTTGCAAATTTCTATACGCTTTTGGTCGATGGAAAGTGTGTTTCTTGGATGTAGTTTAAATTGATTTCTGGTATTTGAAATGCAGGGCTCAAATAATGCGTGATCAGTTATCAAGGACGCTCATGAGCATATTGGCTTGCGAGGAGCAAACTCGAAAAACCTTACAAATAGTTAAATTAAGTACCCAGTTCAGGTAGAGGTAAAATGATCAGTAACAAATATCCATTAAAGTTTTTTTATCTTTAAAGAAGGCTTTTCTCATTTAATCACCCCACGCTAAAACTTCAATCTTGATATTATTCTGGTGAAAGATTTTAATTTAGTAAGAAAGTGAGACATCGTCTTTTTGTGATAGTAAAAGACTGACTCCTTACAATCGTCCGATATTTAAAAACCTGAAGTAGTCCTACTGCTTTTAAAAACTATTGGATTGGACGCAACATTTCATAACAGTTACATTTGGTGACTGGGGACACTGCTGTAAAATAGTTGTATTCAAACTTGCAAAAGATAAAGTGTTTCTCATGCTTAAATTATAAACAATGATGAGCTCGGTCGAAATTTTTTGCCTGCAAATTATCGAAAATTTTTGAAGTAGACAGAAGTTTTGTCTCAAGGTCGCCTGAAAGTTCAAACCCGCACGCATTTTTATTCTCAGTTGGCACAATGCGCTTGTTAAACAGTTTTGTCTATCCGTACTTCTTGCTATTAAAAGAAATTTGGCTAACGTAGACCGATCGTTTTTTTTCGGTCTTGACTTGAACGTCATCTCGATGTCAATAATGACAATCTATATATTTTCCTGTTCAGGACCTGAATGTGAACCCTGTACACCTGGCCATTGACAGACCCTCCGAAAAATTCCTCAACTTCCTCGCCAAATACTACAACATGCGAGTCAAAATACCACAGGTACTACCCAAAATCGATCTAAATTGTTTTGGCATGTGAGTGATCAAAAGCTACGTACTTATTAATTAATTACAATTGATTATTGTGGGATTGCATTGTCATGCAAGTGTTTTGGACAAGTAAGCTATACCAGAAGCATTTTTTTTCAAACATGCAAACAAGTAATGGAATCGTTAGTTTATTACCCTTGCGATAAACAAGGGTATTCTAATCGTGTACTATACTTTTTTCCGCAAATAAGTTTGTTCACAGGACTCATTTCATCTCCTGGACTCCTTCATCTTCTGACATGCTCAATTTCTTGAAAATTCAAATAACTTTATAATTTAAGTAATAATTAGGTAAAGCTCGTTTCAGTTTGCATTAATTTTTTCAAATCAATTTTTTTTTCGGATTCGTGGTTTTCGTCCGAATTTCTGTCGGTTCATTTCCGTTTTTTTAAACGATAATTTTTTATCCGATAGGGTTCTTGTTGGGTTCTTTTCTGGAGCATGTGTTTTTTTTCCAATTTAAACAGTTTTTTTATACCTGAAAGTTCCGTAACTTCTAAATTTACCAAGTCTGATTTTGGGCCTTTTTTCATTTTATTTCTTTCTAAATTATTTAAACACTTTCACTTTGTTGTATCGGCTCAGTCAACTTCAAGGGAAATTATATTCGCATGCCATTATGTGTTTCAGATTGGATGGGTCGTAAAAAGTTTTAAAACTTAATGAAATTTTTTATGACAGCAGCTATTTTCGGTTGAAACATGTTTTGACTCAAAATTTGTTGCAGCTCAATAATTAATTTTCAATTCTTTTCAAGGCTGTTTATGATTTTTAAAACATTGAAGTTTTTGTAGCTGTATATCTTTCAACTTTTCAAGTTATTTCTTCAAGTAATTTTTTCATCAACGAAGTGTTAAATAAATTTTCCTTTTTTCAATTTGAGTCGATGAACGTAGTTCAGACTCTTATCTAGGTGGTGATTATTTTTTTTCGTGGTTTTTTTTTCAGGATAAGTCTTAAAATTTGTTCAGGCTTTTGCGTTTTGACTTTTGATGTCTTTGTTAGCTCAGTTCATTTCCGTTGTTAAAAGGAAGGCAAACTCCACTATTGAACAGCGAAAGTGTAAAGGTCCCGAAAAACGTGATCGTCTTCTAATTTCGATAGTGGAAATTAATTATCAGATTTCCCAGAGAAATAAAAATTTTGCCTATTGATCCATTTTTTACACAAGCATAGCTTGTGGTATAGTATGAACACCCTTTTTCCAACTTAAGTCGCAAGATTTTTGGATCTTGTAATATAGTGTTTTTATCTCAAATAATAATAATAAAAAATTGATGGAAATTACTTATATTAGTAAGTCGATTTAGGTGAATAACTTCGTGGTTTTTGACGGCTTCTTCAAGTCTAGACCCAGATCTGGAATTGGTCTGGACAGACGCAGAACCCATTTGGGACTGAATTCCAGATCTAGTAGAAACACTCCCCCAAAGTATCCAAGCAATGCACATGCAAGGGTAGCTGCACAATCGAATCAACACAATGCATGTGCTGTGACATGGATGCCACAGTCAGGTTAGTAATTGTTGATTGGAACAACGCAACAGAGTTTTCGTGAAGAGCAAGATGTCTGCTTAATGTTTTTGCGAAGATTTTTTTCAAAGAATGTAATACTGCTAGTTTTCTTAAGAATTTGCATGCTTTTTTGAGTATGTTAAGTTCGATATCTTTTTTGACTTCATCTCATGGCTTCTAAGTCTGAAAAATTCGTTAATTTCAGCACAAAAATAAAGCCTGAATCCTAATTTTTATTAATTCAGACTTTTGAATTATCGGAATCATTGCCGGTTCGTTGCTCCACTGAAAATTAAAGCTAATTTTTAGAAGCGTCGCTAACACGAAACAATTCTCAACTTCCTCCTGTGTCTGACCCTGAACCCCAGCTACCCTCAAATGTATTTCAACCAGTGAAACAATTTAACAACTATTCCAACGGCCACCCATCTTCTGGAGCTGAACTCCTTTTGTCGCCTCCAAATGCCAAAGAAATGACAACAACATTGAAGAAAAGTCCGAGTCCAATTAGTAGAGTAGATAATGCACACCGACCACCTTCGGTGTCAGCCGACGCGTTGTCCCGATTACATTCTGCAAATATTGCCAATCAAGCAAATTCTGGGGATCAAATCTCAAAGTTCCATGTAACTAATTGTGGTCGCACACCTGTGGTTTCAACATTGGACCATGATCGAGTGGCAATGGACGCCAATCAGCAAATGTGTAATGGTATGACTCAGAAACAGGGCAAAAAGCAGTTTGGTCACGTGCGAAATGTGGCTCCGAGTTCATTTAATATATTTGGGACGATGCCCTTGAGCAGTGCAATAGCCGGTGGTCATTCTGATGTGTATACTAATGGAGGTTCTGCAAATAAAAAGTCGCATTTGCAGTCGAACAATGGAACAGCTATGAGAACGCGTCTATGGTAATAATTTGTCCAGGAAGAAACAACTGTAAAAGATGAAACTCAATTGTAAAAAAAACTATTTGTAAAAAAGAAAGGACTGGTCAACTAAGACGATTTTATTGTATCTTAGCTATTCAAAATCTCATGAAATCGTTGTTGGTTTTCCTGAAGTGATTATAAAAATTCTTGAGTGGTGGTAGACCTGCGCTTGTTTGAATTGCCCTCATTGCGTTGCCATATCGGGTCAGTGTGTATCATCCAATTCGTACTAAATATTGTAAATTTGTAGAAAGCTCGTGTAATATTTGGTTCGCTTTCGAATTTTTCATGGAGTTTGGTTGTGAAATTGTGCGACATTGATGTTAGATTTTGTGCACTTATATCGAGATTCAATGCGCATCGTTTTAGCCTTAATTAAAATGTTTTTGAATCGATAACTTTTTGGATATATTGAGCGCACTCCGTTCACTTCATACGTCAAACTAATCACTAAGATGAAGAGGTGCAAACCGTTTTTATGGAGAGGTGCAATTGACAATGCCTGGTGCTGCTAACCCCATCTGATGGGATAGGCATCAATTGAATCTAAAATCCGTTATGATGATGACGATGAATGAACGGAGTGAATCTTCACAAGGCCTTTTTTCGTCTCGAAGAATTGAGTCTGTTCATCCTGATCATTAAAAAGTGTGATTATTTTTGGTAAAATCATCCCTGACGAGGGTTTGCAAGTAAACCTTAGGAGCTAACTTATTAACAGAACTATGATTTTTTAAAACTTTTTTTGTTGATTACAATCTAATTTTGTTATTTTTTAGATAGTTTCCGCTTTGATCCAAAAACTTTGCCTTCTCCGAGAGAAAAAAAGTTTCGAACAACGTCATGAGTATCAGATTGCTTCATTTGTTTCATGTTTGACAGGGTAATCTGAGAGGCTGTTTTGTAAAGCATGGAAGCAAAAAGTATCCTTCATTCCGAACCCCTAGTCTAAATTTTTTTATGAACCCACTTTTCCAAATTTTGTAAAATAAACAGAGCCAACAGGTTGGTAAAATATCAATGATTACCTTGCTTTTGATTAAAAAAATAACCTAAATCAAGAAAACTATCAATGTGTAAATTTTTTATTCCGCCTGGAAATTAAAGTAAGATTTCTAAACTAGAAGTCATTGACGTACCTTTGGGCCAGTTCCGCTTTTGTAATTGGATGGCGCAATTTATCTAGCTTTAAGCCGATGAGTACGAATTGAAATGGAAAATGCAGCTATACCAAAGAGCGTTCAGAAAACCATTAATATGTAAGATCACTTCGCAGTTACTAGAGCTTTAAGATTTCTGAAAGAAAACTCATCAAGTGAAGGTCACGTCGTTCTTGTAGTCGTGGCAATTATTTCTACTTTTCCAAATTGCTGGCTTTGTTTATACTTCAAAATTTGGACAAGTGGGTTCATGCAAGATTTATAACTGGGGGTTAAGGAAAAGTCAATTGAATTTGCAGCAAAAAAAAATCATTTTAAATCCTCAGAATAAAGTCTATTTCCTGCTTCCATGTTTTACGAATAGCCTCCCAAAATACCCGGACAGTCATGAAACAAGTGAAGCAATCCGATAATCATGACGTTGTTCAACACTTTTTCTTCTTGGAGAACGCAAGGTTTTCTGCATCACAGAGGTTAACCATAACTCGTGATTGTAAAGTTTGGCCATTGAGTGACCAAAAAATCTGATAGATTGATCGAAATCGGCTCAGCGGTGCTTTCAGTGGTGATGCTGCCCAGTAATTTTTTTAGTGAGAGTTCAAGTTGCACGTGGTTAAATAAAAAATATATGTTTAGAGATACGTCCCTTTTAAAGCTTCTAATCAGGACTTTAAATTTGGATACGATTAGTTTGTTGCTTTACACTTTGACTTTACCTTGACGATACGGAAGGTTGTGACAAAAGATCCTAGACTTGTCACGTAAACATTTTTGTCCCAGAATAAACAAGATATTAGACTGTTTCGTCGTATTTCACACGAATTAATGACTTCTATTGCCTATCTATATGACTTGGCTACACGTTAAGACTTGCAAAATGTTTTCATAATTTTGATCGAAATTTTTGTCATTCTTAGTTATGCGAGGATTTTTATTTTTCTGCACTTGCAGTTAGCAAGTTTTAACAAATCGGATTATTGTTTTTTTGGTTAATAAGTTGCGCAAGGTACTATCGACCAGAAGAGAATTCCAAAGGAATCAAAAGTTTCTTTTTTAAAGATTGTTTCTGTTTTTTTTTCGCTTAAATTTTATTCGGCAATTGTAATATCGCCTTATTCACTTTGTTTCAGGTCGTTTGAGCTTTTTTGTTTCAAGAGGGTGTAAAAATTTGAGACGCAAAAATTTATAGCTCAAAATGTTTGTTAAATTTAGTTGCTCATCGTTCGTCTACCGAAAGTTTGTTTTCGTTGTTGTTATTGTTATTGTCGCTGTTCATATTATTTGCCCGACGATGGTGCGGTGACAAGCGAGCTCTAGGAGCTTCGCTACTGTGGCCGATCAGAGCCACAGGTCTTTTGTGGGGTAAGTTTGGTCCAATTTTGTTCGGCAATAAAAAAATTTGAACAGCAGTGCGGTGAAAATCTGGGTAACTTTTTGTGGCGAGTAAACGAAAGGTTGTAGACAGTTTTTAGCTGGCGCTAAATTTTTCCGGGTTGCTCGAGGAAGCAGCTTCTTATTTAAAAAATATTCAGGAGGTCACAGTGGGTGGACTCAGGGAAGGGCGCATCTTCGATGACCTCTGTTACGTGTTTGGTATAGTGTTAACCATATTCATGATAAATATTTTTTAGATATTATTGTTTTAATAAATTTCTTTTTTCAAAAATACTGGCCTCCACCCCGTTTGTACTTTTGAATTGCTTTGCAAGTGGTGCGAAGCTCTGATCTGCCTCTGTGTTAAATTTGTTAACTCTGATTCGATATTTTTGAAAGTCTAACAAAAATTTTGCATTTGTAACCAATATCAGATTTTGTAGCTAATATCAGAAGTAGCGACATAACCGGTTAAACAAATCATGAAAGCTTTTGAGAATGACTTGTTTCATTTTCCAGAATTGTAGGGCAGCTGCAAGCGTTAACAATACCAAGGAGGCTTAGACTAGATCGACATTTTGATTGTTTTGCCACTGTCAAACGTCTATGAAATAAATTAAAAGTTAAAAAATTGGTTTATTATTTTTTTTAACGAAAAAATTATGTGAAAAAATTTTCAAAATGTTTTTGAAAGTTTTCCCACCTAGACGCTATGTTGAAAACATTAAATTTTTTTGGCGGTTAGTTATGTAACAATGTCTTTTGGTCATCAAAATGTTCTTTTAGCTCCCAATTTGATATAAAAACTTTAGTTCAAAGAGCATCCAAAATCTCGTTGAATTTTCTTTTTATTTGCTTCTTATTTAGCACCCCTCAGGGATTCGACCCCATGCCGGCCCAAAGGGTCCCCCTTTGTACTATTTTGATATTTCCCTTTTTGCTGACTGACGCTAAAATTTTTCTTAAGGCGCATTTGGCTCCAAAATATACTAATTTTGAGGGGGGAGCGCTCGCCGAAAAAACGCGATTTTTGGTGAAAATTTTCAAAAAATGCCTAAAAACGCTTTTTTGTGGCATTTTTTCAAAATCTTGCCTGCGGCGCAGAAAATTTGGTCAAATTAGGGTCTTTATAGTGGTTTGAGAGAGCTCAGAAAAACAATTTGGTCGACCTAAAAAAAGTCGATAAAATTTTCGAAAATTTTTTGAAAATCCGCCCCATCTCGAGAAAATCCTAGATCCGCCCCTGACTCATCTAGTGTCCACCATCGACCATATCAGGCATTTTTTTCGATGTCGATTTAAATAATTGGATATGCGGGGATACAACGGTCATGGCCCGATTAACGAAAAAGGTATGAGACAACTCCACGCTAAAACCAAACAGAAGTGCAAGTTCATCAAGCATTTATCTCAAAAAGATCTCTGGCATCAGTTGGAAGAAACATGACCACAATAATAGTGTCCGTACTACGTCAACATCCTCTGGGCCAAGGGAGAGATACGCTTACAAAAATCGAAGCGAGCTAGCCTCTTCAGTAAAAATATCCTCAGCAGCTGGCCACTCTAAGATGGAGCAAGATGCAACGCCTTTGTGTTGCTAGACTGACGGCTAACAATAAACTGCACAAAAAACGTTTGGAGCTTAGGGCAATTATGAGGCCGAATGGTTTTGAAGGCATGAGTCGTTTGAATTAAGTTTAGCAATGAAAACAATGATAGCCTTCTGATAACAATGATAGCATTTGTTGGCAAAAAAAATTAACAAAAAATGACTTGTTTCCAATCTTTAAATGATATTATCTAAATGTTGGAGAGTTCTTTGCTATATGCACATATAGCAAAGAACTCTCCAACATTTAGATAATATCATTTAAAGATTGGAAACAAGTCATTTTTTGTTAATTTTTTTTTGCCAACAAATGCAGAAAATGCTAACTAAAAGCTAATATTTCTTTAAACGTCTAGTAGAATTAAGTTGGGATGTCAGTCTCTAATTTCTGTCAACTTGTTTAAAAAATTTTTTTTTAAATCAGACCCGTTTTTTTGGACATTGAGACAACATTTTTGAATTATTTTTTAGAAACTCAATCGCGATATTATTTGCGGGTGGATTATGAATAGATGTAGTAGCAAACTACCCTATCTCAAAAATCACCAAAGAGATTTTTATTGCTCATACTGTTCCCAGAACCACATACTGCCACCCCGTGTAACTAATAGCCCAAAATTTTAGATAACCAGTCCCCATTTCCAATTACTCTCACTATCGACAACCCGCCAAACGCCCCGCTTTCACATCGCGTCTCAAGCACCCCTCAGTTAAATTTGAATTCTAATTCCAACCAACCTCGAATCCAATGCTTTTATCTCGAATCTTATAAAATTTTTAAATAAACTTCAGTTAAATTGCCATGGAATTTCCGGCAAAGCCCCTGATTTTGCAATCCTACAATGTGACAAGCAAATCCACATTGCAGTTTTCCAAGTAACCAAGTTGAAATCAAGCAACCAAAATCCCTTGATTGGCCCGAATTACACTACTTAGAAAAGACCGTGTACAAGAACGTGAGGCCTACTGATAGCAGTACATAACTCTCTCCTGTACGAGGGACTAGGCTGCAACCAAGACGGAACTCTGGAGGCTCAGAGCATTAAGAAAAGGCCAACAACTATAGTCTCCGAATCTCAAATCGCAGCTGCCCGAAAGACTATAAACCGTCCCCCACACAATTCCTATCCGAAAACAATTATTTACTACTAGGTGACGCAAATCGCAGTTGCCCGAATGACTACAAACCGTCCCTCACACAGTTCCTAAGCGAAGACAAAAGTTTACTATTAACAGACGTAAATGCTCATTCGCCACTCTGGAGTTCTAACATTCCTGAGGACACCAGAGGTGAAATTTTCACTGAGGAAACTTCCAAATCAAGTTTTATCTCATTAATCAATTTTAACCAAACCAGGCTTTCATACGACAATACAACTTCTTGTCGTCGTTGGACACATCTTTAGCATCCTCTTTGCTTCTACTGTCTTTGAGTTGGCAAACTTTTTTACTTTTAGGATGAGATCATCTTCCTAATTTAATCCAGCTTCCTTTGATCTTTTTCTCTCATGAAAAGACCTACATCAATTTATCAAAACGCGAATGGGCAAAATTTAGCAAAAAAATTGAACGGGTACTAGAATCAATGCCCCTGTCACATGATGTAATCAGCGCGGAGAAACAAATATGTGACACGATTTTAGTGGCAGCTTGTCACCACTTTTTAGTGGCCGCTTGTCACCGCCGACCGGCATAGTTTCTTTCTACCTGCTCTTCCTCCAGAAGTTAAATCCCTGGCAGCGGAGAGTGACCAATTTCAATTGAAAGGTCGTTTAATCGAAACTAAAATTTTTAAACACCGAAATACAAAAAATAATTGTTAAGATCAAAGAAAAACGTTGGCGAGACTTCCTCCAGGAGTTCAGTCACCGCACGGCGTCAGCCGAATTCTGGAAAGTAGTCTGCTCCGTAAACAGAGCAAAGTCTGTGATATTAAACCATTCTATCGATTTTAATGACAAACATTTTTCTGCGGTAAAAGGCACTTCAATTGTTTTTAACATCGAACATACGCAACTAAAAAAACGTTGATCAAACAAGGAGCGAGAGACACTAAGCAAAAAATCTATAAACTTAGCCTAGATGACCAAATTGAACTTATTCCAATAGAAACGGCAACAGTCAAAAAGACCGCTAAACCCTCCAGAGCGCTAGATCCCGACAGCCTGTGTACTATATCGCTTTAACTATTTAGGGCCAGTTGAAATACAGTTTCTCAATCATACTTTTAACCTCTCCCTCGTTTATAACAAAACTACCATGTCTGAAAAAACTGTAAGAGTGTTCCTCTACCCAAACACAACAAAGATTTAAAATCGTCTGAATGGTATTGTCCGGTATCGACACTCAGTCCAGCAGTTAAACTTTTACAAGCTCTGACTCATCCAAAACTCGCCGCTCATCGACCTCAAGCTCCCCTCCAACACAGAGATTCAGACCCTTCCTCTCAACTACTACAGCCCTGTTTACAATAGAATTTTTATATCAGACAAATTTCAACAAAAAGAGACCTCCAAAACTAACCACTCTTGACTTTTCGAAAGCCTTCCATATGGTATGCCACCGTACTTTAGTCAAGTTATTACACGGTTCTAGTTTACCTGAATGCATAATCAAGTTGCTCTCAAATTACATTAGGGGTGTCGAGCCAGGACCCTATTCAGAAACAAACTATCGTTAACCAGGATTGTACATACAGGGGTTCTTCAAGCTTCAGTACTTTAACCAATTTCTTAAACAAGCTCCATGAGTTTTTACGAGCAAACATCTAGTGGTCTCTTTCTCGAAAGAAACAGTGAGCTTGTTCAGCTCCCACAACAACGTTTTCAACAATGATCCGTTCCTCAAACTTGCTGAGCATTGCGAGCAAGCCGCCATGAAAGCGCGCCCAGAACATCGATCTTGATGGCTCTGTCCGGGACGAACTGGGGAATCCAAATAAGCCTTGCTTGTAACGTTCAAAGCTCTAATCAGACCACTCCGCGATTACTCACGTTGCAAGTAATTTCTTCATGAACAAATTACAAGTCGGTTCAAATCACAGCTCTCTGTATTGTGACGGGATGCACAAAGATGAGCTCCATAGACCACCTTCACACTGAATGTAAGCTACTATCCGTGGAACATCACCATCAAATTCTATCCAAGTAGTTTTTTCTGAAATCGTACTTTCACGTTCATACCTTTCAATTCTATCGAACCCAAACAAATCGAACCTAACTTTAAATCAAATTCAAACGAAAAACTAGACGAAATAAACTCTAAGACATCATTTTTACCTCATTTAACGACAATACGGACCAAAACAACTTTGTTTAGAATAATATTAAACCTCTCTTAAAAATCATCATTTTAGACAATCGTCATATAATCGTCATTTTAGACAAAAACTGTGACCATACGAAAAAATTAGAGAAACTTGTTTTTGTTTCGACACTTAATTAAAAGTGGTCAGCAACTAGCAGAGTAACTGGTTTTTCTTGATCCAGTTCATCTGCAATACACTTTTTACAGTACATTAAACTAGCCATAGATTGTTTCGCGACTAAATCAATCGGCCTAAATGTCAGAGTTGCGCCATTTTTGCTATCAAAATGAGGGGGGGGGGGGGGGGGGTTTAAAAATTCCATTTTTTTTACAGATACTGATTTTTTCTGCCATTCCGTTTTACCAATCGATAGTTTTCCAAAATTTATGTTCTACCCGAGCACGCTTCCCGACTGTTTTGCTTACATTGTGAATCTTTCTTTGACCATTTGGATCTACTTATAAAAAAATATTTTCTTATCTAGCTATAAACTTTTCCTTAGACAAATTTCTGCGCAATTTGAAATGCAAAAAGCTTAATCGGATTAATTAACGAAACTCAAATCAGGACATTGGCAAACTAAAACAAGGATAGCAGGTTACTGTGCAAGTAGCACAGACTGTTCTGACCATAGTCTTTAAGAAACTACAAAGAATTTTTTTCAAATTAATGTAGTTTTTTCTGCGTGGTGTGATAAAAAGATCAGAATGAAAAAATGAACTTAGGCATAATCGGCAGTCATAATAAAAAAGACCATTCGGAATACATTTTTGAAGAAAATGCACTCGAAAACTAAAAAAAAAACTTTTTTTTTAAAGTTAAATTATAAAGAATTTTTAACCTTTCTTTTACATAATGGCGCTAAAAAACTCCAAAAACTATCTTTATCTGTGTGCAAAACTATGTTTTCACGGCTTAAAGTAAGCTTAAATAATGTATTGTTAGCCTAAACGCTCACACCTATTAGTTCAAAATTCGACCGAAAATCAAAAATTTCAAACCGATTTTTCTCAAAATTGTGAAATAAGTTTTGTGAAATTTTTAATGTAATTCGAATCACGATTGAAAAGGCTAAATATGACATATTACTCGACCCATTACGATAAACCTGATTTTGCGTAGAAAACAAAAGAAAAAAGAAAACAAAAGAACAAAGTTCCTCCCCATTTTTCAAATTGTCGAAACAAAAAATCCTCATTGAAACATTCCACACGTTCAAGCGCTTCTATAGAAAACAAAATTAGAGAAAAAAAACGATATGGGGGATGTTTTTGTTCTATTACTTTTTCCTTTCGGTTGCAGAAAAATGCATTAGAGCAAAAAACTGCTGTTAGTGTTACAAACAAACGTTCCGTACTATGTGTGTTTTTATATTTAAAAAAAAACAGCCATGCGCAGGTTCACTTGAGAAGCTTCATTATTACATCCGTGTTTCATAGAACAACACAATGGTTGATTTTCAAAATGAGTTTGTTGAATAACTGAGTGTAGAAATAAAATTACGCTGTCGAAGTGTACAAACAAAATTATAAAAATAACATTTATCGCTTCGAATTTTCATTGTCGCACAATTCATAAACGCATATTTTGCAGTCGCATTTTTTTATTTCATAGCCGCGTATTTCACAGTCGCATAATCGCCAATTGCAGTTGCTGGTCGCAATAGTTCGGAATCAAGAAGCTCTGCAAAAGACGCAGACCTTCACCTGGGTAGAATTCGAAGTAGAAATAAGTTCAAATTGATTGGTGGAAACTAGTCATGTTTACTGATTCTCTAAACTGTTCTTGAAACCTGGTAAGCCGCTGTCGTTTGATTGTTCAGCTCTTTGATTTAGTCATTTCTGGGTTGGCTTACATCGGCATGCTTCTGTTTTATTATTTGCACTGATGTTTTAGACCTATAGTTCAGTTTGAATTGAGTATCCAATTTATGGCTGTTAGATCACGTATGTGCGTATGGTCTTATAGTACCATAACTTCGTATTAACTCCAGATTTGTTGATTCAGCTGAGTTCTTTGTTTCACCTGTTCTTCTTTGTGTTACACGTTTTACTTTTTACTGGTATTTTTCATGATTCGTAAACAATTTTTGGACGTTTTTAATGCAAATGTGATATTATGATTATACGTCAGAAAAAAAAACTTGTCTTAGGGTAAGTATTCATAGAAATTTATGCCTTAATTCAGAGGCCAAATTTTCAGTTTATTTAAATTCCCTTTATTGTGTCCCTGATAAAATTACAGAAGTTACAAAACTACAGTTTGATTCCATATCGTAAGATTCAAATAAATATGGACGATAAAGCAGAGAATTCGCTTGAAACTCAATTCCCCGACCACGAGAAACAATTGACGTTGATTCCAGGACCTCCGAAGTGCTGCAAGGATGACCACTTTGTGAAGTTAGTCATGGGACACAGATCGTCCATAGAACTGATAAGTAGCTGTGGTCTCCACGGGTTTCTAGTCAGTGGGTTACTAGTCTCCCAACTTTCTAATGAAATTATTTCCCAAAGTACTGATAATTTAACGTCAAGTTTTGGACCCAAAGCTAGACCTGCGAACTCAACTTCTTTATTGGAAATCTCGAAAGAACCCAAAACAATGCAATCGCAGGGTACCCTTGAACCCTTAAAAAGGCCAAGCAGTACTCCAACATCGACCAGAGCTATGACGGAAACTTCTGATCATTTAAAACGTTCCAAAACTGCAGAATACTTAGAAACACATTTAAAGAACTTACATTTTGAAGGAACCTTGGGGTCTTCTGATGATTCAAAACACTTAAAATCCCCAAATCATTCGGAAGCTTTAACTTGTTCAGCTGATCGCCAAAGAGAAGTAGTCCCACCAGAGTTAGACATCAAATGTAGTTTTGGCAGTGTTTTTGTTCACTCGCCTAGCTTGAACAAATTATTTGTGTTCAAAAATGTAGCGGAAAAATTATCCGAAATATCGATAGAATCAGTTTGCGTATCGGCAACTTCTCAAATAAAGATATTGGATAATATTCTCACTTCTATGCAAAATTCGAGTCCAGAATTTTTGGAATTAGACCTGATTTTGTTACCAGAAAAAAGTATCAGTGCGACAAACTTTGCTTTATTTGAGCACAAAATATCTGAAGCCTGTAATGGGCTAAGGTCTTTGAAGTTGAATATTTTCATGATTATTAAACGAAAATCATTGTTGTATGTTCAAGACAAAAATCAAGAGGCATTGTTGTTGTCAGAAATATGCAGCTCTGAAAATTATCCAGCTTCCACGACAGTGTCCGCATTTTTATCCCGAATTTCTAACCAAAAGTCATATTACGCAATGAGTGAAAGAAGTTTCAAAGGTTTTGGTGACCAAGTGTGGAAATTAAACGAAGTGGAAAAATCCTGCCACGCTTTAAATCATTATTTCCCAGAAAAAGAGTCTAAATTACAGACTGTTCCGAGCATCGATTGTCTGAAAGATAATTTACTTTATTGCACGGATGAAAATGGGTCTCTTGTGTTTGGAAAGGGAATTGGAACTGAGAGCTACCTAGGGGAAGTTAAATTATTCCTAGAGAGGTTCTTCAACTATTTGCCCTCTCCAACAGGCATTCTTCTCAAAGGTAAGCGTGGAAGCTGTTAAAACTAGTTGAACTAAACTTCAGTGGAACATCGATCGGAAAATTATTATAAGTTTTTCTAGATGAAAACTATCAGCTTTTTCTTAAAAATTTTTCATAGTCATTGTTGTCATTTTGTTGTTGTTATTGTTTTTTGGCCATTTATCAGCTTGGATATTACTCTCAAGTGACAAAATCTGAACTCAGTTGCAAGTGATCAGCCTCTTGTGATAAAAAGTAAATTTAAAACCAAAAAAAGTCTGGTTTTCTGCCCCTAAATTTTTTGAAGTTCCACAAAAGTAATAAAAAGTAAGTGGGTTTTTACTTTTCCACATTTGCCATTTTATACAATCCCCGATTCGTAAATGATTATCGTAATATTTTTGAGCCATTTATCAAACTTAGTAAAGGGAAAAATGCTTAGCCCAAGGGCTAAATTACTTATACATACGAACATAATGTTTTCATATACTTGAACTTTAATCGATTTTATGCAGATTCTATACAGATTCTGTACAGATTTTATACCTCAAAAAAATCCATTTTTTTCTGGGCTATAAAATTTATTTTTTCCAAACTGTATAAAATCCCTATTTTATCTGTTTTAGTGTCTAATTGGTTTACATACAATTGATTTTTAACTAGTAGAAAATCTGTCTAAAAATTGATTATAATCGATTGCAATCTCATTTTTGCCAATGCGGGTAATTTTTTTTGAAGTTAATCAAAATTTTAAGCTGAAACGCCGCGTTTGAAAAGCGGACATTTTTTGAACTTACTCGTCAGTTGTCCGATGGAACGACAACCAGAACATCATACAGAAGATCATACACAAGTTGAAAATTTTTAGATAGTTTCGAGATTTCACCAAATTGTTGTCGGTCATTATCTGGAGAGCAAATCATAGATATTTGTGTTTTAACTAAGTTTTTAGAGCATTTTGTCGAGGCATTTTTGAAAGAGGCATTTTGAAAGAGATCTCCTATAAAAATTACTCAATTATGATGTCCAGAACTTACCTCCTGTAAAATCTATGCATTCCAGGTAATAAAAATCTGTATTTAAGTATTGTCTTCGGTCTCACTGCTTTTAGATCAGTTGCAAATGAAAATGAGGGCAAAGCATTAGTATTAAATTTGCGATTGTAGAGGAAATAAAAATAAAAAGTGTTTAGGAAACGGTTTTTTTCGAAAAACGTGATTTCTTTTTCAGCATCATTAGAGCCTTATGCTTACACATGGGACAAGCACGAAAACTGCGTGGTCACGAAATTATTTTCTCAAAAAGCAAAAATGGTCAAGTACGCCAATAAGTTGGACCACCCTCAATATCATATACTGAGTGAGCCACCCAATGGCTTAGATCTGAAAATTCACATTTACAATAAGCAGCAAGAAGTCTGCAGCAGGCCAGGAGCAGTATATAAAACAAATTTTGAGTCCTTGTTTATTTCATATTCAGGTGTTTTTGACATGAACACTGGTAAATCCACCAACATACGACACGATGATAGAAATTACTATCAAATGCAAATAAATGAGAACGATCAAATTAGAGTGAAACCTTTGAACTACCCTCTGGGATCAGGTAGTTTTTCATTCCTCCATGATGAACGTAACAATAAGAATTGGGATCCTCTTTGGAGCCATGTAGGTACCGATGAAATTGATTGCGAACTTCATCTGCGTGCAAAGCTAGATTACATAATGTACTTTAATGCTAAACAAATCAGACATTCTGAAATGACATTATTACAGAATCAATGTGAACTCGAAAGAACACAAAATCTAGCAATAATGATGTTAGCTTTACAAAACACCAGGCTTGTAGAATACATGCTAACTGGTAACTGCTCTATGTTCATGGACACCGATGGAGCAGTTGGCTGGCTATATCACTGCCCTAAAAAATTTCACCTCTAAAGTTCTCGAAAAATGCTTTGATCGAATACCGATCTACTATAATGGGCGAACGATGTTTGTCGACCCTATTACCCGCCAAACTTTTTTGCCAACAAAATACACTGTGTTGGTGGCTACAAAAGGGCCTTTCAATTTGATTTAGGTGATAAATTATCTTGGTACCAATCATTGCCGGCTCCAATACCTTTCAAGACTCCTTTAATATTCGCTCCACAAAATAGAGGCCATATTACGGAAATTTCCGTATACGATTCGAGACGCGCAGGCATGTATACCCCAAAACAATTGAAAGCTTTTTGGGATAACATCCTTCATAACACAGCTTCAACATCTATTCTAAAAAAATTACCATAACTGTTGTCTAAAATGGACACATGGATAACACAAATTCCGATGCTTTAACCGCCGCAATGGGTTTAAACCAAACATTTTAACTGGATTCTCTGTTTTCACCCAGATTTTTTATAAATAACTTCATCGGAACATTCGGTTTTGTCGCTTTTTTCTTGGAAAAAATCGGAATTGATTTTGCCTTTTTTATTTTTCTCAAATTCCTGCTAGAAATATTAGTAACGATTATTTCAGCTTTATAAAATAGTAAGCTAACAAATCGTACTATGAGCTTCTGGAAGATAATGTTAAGTGCAACGTATAACCTTTTCGTTCTATCAGTTTTTAGTTCCATTTTATCAAACGAAAACTCCAATCTTGAATCATCAGCTTCAAGAAACTCAAGACAAAAACAAAAACGACAACAAAACCATCATCAACGTATTTCCCAATCAAGCACTGCTTCAATACCCATGGTAGAGCGACCTGATCCGGCAGTACCCTTCGGGCAGCAGATTCACGAAACGAACTTGGTTTTATACCCAGACCTAAAAAACCAAAATGAACAATTAGTACGGAACAATGTAATAGGAACTATATCTAGCCCAACAATCCTTACTCAACCACCAACAACAACACTACAACACCAATCTAAGGCAACAGTTTTCTTTTTCAGACGCCCTCAAGTAAACTGTGCATCCCTATAGATTAAATGCTAGTCGATATTTTAGACAGACAAGTTCTTTTACTAATTCGTTTTCCCAAACTTACAAATGAACTGTTTACACGAATAGCAGCTCTTGACTTACCTCATTTAGGAACCAATACTTTTATACGTCTTATGCTAATTATTTATCCAGGAAAGGTAATTCATGAAGCTGTCGAATCCAAAATATAAATATATTTGTCCTTTTATTCAAAATAAAACGAATCGTGTATTGGAAAAATAACACCAGAAGGAGTTCATTTTTGTGTGTAAAATACCGCGATACAGAGAATTTACTTGGACACAAACATTTAAATGTTGGTAGGAATTTTGGATCGAGACGTTCGTTTTTTAATTCAACTACCAGGTTACGCAAACAAACTACCAGCACTAATAGCATCAGCAAGATTACCAAAAACCTTACCGAATGATTGCATTCACCTTATAATAATAACTTATCCGGAAGAAACTGTTCAAAAAATTGAAACTGACTCTTCGAAAAAAAATATCATTATACTTGTTCTCTGCTAGAGGGAAACAGCTCAGCAGTTGTCATTACCGATTTTGAAGGAAATCACTTCTATATATAAGTCTTAAGCCATTAAAAATAAAATTGAATTGATTCATTCCAAATATGAATTTTGGATAAAAATAGATGTTTCTTGACAAACTAAATCAAAATTTCTGCTTAGTCATATCCTGCTCTCATTTCCCACAGCAGTTTTATTCCCGAGTAACAGCAGCAATTTTACCATCTGTCGCAATTGATAACGATTTACACTTAATTATCACTGACCTTCACCATAATCAAATTAACGATGTTATCGTAAAGGCAACCAATCCTAACTACAGAGATACTCTTCACATCATAAAGTATAAAAGCTCAGCCATATTCGAAACTGCTTGTGACGAAATTATTTTTGCGAGTAAATTAATTGAACATAAGACTCATGCTTTTAAACAAAACACTTGTCACGTACTCCTTTACCAAATGGAAAAATCTATCGAATCTTGTAACGGTTCATATTGTCCAAAACTAATAATATACTTCGATTATTGTAATACGTGGGAAGACGGAACAATTGAAGTCTTCCACAATTCGCCATTTTGGAATTTTTTCCTAGTTTTGTCGAATACTTGCTTAAGTCATTTGCCAAAAAAATCATCGATTTTCATTCAAATGGTCTCACTAAGCTCTCGTAACCTGTTTATCCGGTTACCAAACCTACGTTACTCACTCATTGGAGTAGAAAACACTCTGAAAATTTTTATTTGCTACATGTGAGTAAGGTTAACACCAGTATATCAACTACAATCATAGTTCCGGGAAATCACCCTAACTTCTTTGAACTAAGTCATTTAAACAAAAACAGAAATTTTTCTAAACCCATCTATTTTTTCTAATTAGAAAAAAATGATATTTAATATCAACGACCAACCAGTTTCAGTTACTCTTATGAAGGAAACCTTTGAATTACAAACAAATTTACCAGTTTATATGATAGTTAATGTTCGATACATCGAAATGGTTACTTCGAGGAACTGAGTATTTATCCCACTTCCCGATATTGACCATTCTTTCTTTTTGTATCTGATCACCCAGAGTCCTGTCCTACAAATATTGAATGCAAAAATTGTACCTTACAATAGATTAACAATCTCTTACAAGGAACCTTTGTGCGAATTAAAGGGTTCCAACGCTCTTTCATTCTAGCAGAAACTTTCAAAATAATCCCAATCTTTATAGTTCATTTCGAAACATTATATAATGGCGAGTTACACAGTACCATTTTTAAACCAAGCAATAAATACTGGCATCTAAAACTATGTCTTGCAAATAGCCTAGCATTTCCCATCCCCTGCGACCTAGACGAGATTGAATAAGCAGGAAGAATGACAACCGAATGTCCCATATGTTTGGAAGTTTTTGATCAAATGAAAAAACTACCTAAAAACCTACTTCCACAGCCTCCACTTTTAGTTTGGGTTAATTGTTATAATATAATCAAGCTAAGAGCAAGTAGAACTCTCGCAAAAATTCCTTG